GGTCGGTGGATCGTTAAACTCTAAAGCACTCCTACGTGCTATTTTACGACATGATAAGACTAGAACATATCAAGCAAACAAATAGATCGAAATTTTGGTCCCCATACCGTATTCCCCCTACACTACTGCCGGTCTGACTACAGTATAAGACGATTTTGTTATTACGGTACCAATTCAGATCTGAAGTAAGTTTTTACCACTCCAAACATTGGGGCTACGGGTGAATACCACTGATCATACCTTGTCCGGCTTTCGTTTAGCATCAAATCGGCCATAAATAGCCGAATATTTGCGATATTCTGCGAGTCGATTTGGTGTATCGGCGGTGGAAGAAAGAAGATCAAGCACTTCTCTGAATCAAAGCGACCTCACTCGCTCCTTGAGGTTAAAATATGGTCAAATTAGAAGAAGGACTAGCACATGAACACTTTGAATACCAAAAATGGGTCTTCCTTCAGGGGTAACTCACTTTGAGACTCGCTTTTTATTTTGGACAAGTTTTGGCGGCAGTCGAGGAATTTTTTGGCATATGGCCATCGCACAATTCGAAAGGCGACGGATCTGTGCATCGGACAAGACTGGCGAGTCGCATAGAGCAGTACCTAAAATTCGACAAAATCGATTCTCTTTATACTCCCACATCGTAGTAACAGTGAGTACGATAGGCTCGTCACGGCCATTCGATGATAGAAAGCTCTTCTATCATTCAGGGAGACCATACAATATGTTCCTTTAGGGTGGTGTGCTGTATAAGCGTCATGACTGAGCTCTGAAGCCAGATCAGTTCCCTCCCTGGTACCAGCTCTGCCTCTGAACAATAGAGACGAGACGGTGACATAATTTTTTGCGTGGTAATAGCATAGCCAAAGGTGAGTGTCTGAAGGTGCCGCACCAGGTGAGAGGAGCTTCCCAGATACCAAGAAAAAGGCAAATTCTCCAATTTCCTCAGGCTAGAAAAAAACTCTGAAGATTTTCAGAGTTTTCGCCAATTTTTTAAGATTAAATCGCACTTGTCATTGTTGATTATATCTAACCAGAAGTGTTCAACGTTCGAGCTTATTGTACTCACTGTCTGCTTGAGGAAGATGCATAATTATCTTACTTGGATCGTAGTCTCCCAAAGATACAAAGTCACCACCTACTGAAAGAGGGCTGGTCGACCTGAAATAACTTGAATGTCATTCATGTAAAAATGTCATCATGAGAGAACTGTTTTTCAAAGATTACAGCATAACAAAGCAAAAAGTAACCTAACCTCTCTTTCTCTTCGCCGGTAATCGATCCCTGTCCGAAGGCCGGCAAAAGTTCGCCGCGAACCACGTTGGCGGTTCCTCCTGGGACGGCAGCGCTGGGACCGAAGTCGTTGGTGCAACCACCGGCCCCGCCGATTGTGACAGAAGTGGCCATAGTACCGAGCACAGCAGCGGAGAGTTCGATCGCTGAACTGTGTCGGCTTCAGCGGCACATCAATGCCAACACTTCCATTTACATAGGTCTTCGTTTATCTTGGGAGCATCGCATAGTTTCTCTATTATGATCGTGGTTACGTTTGTGTATCCCCAACAGAGGGGTCGTAAACACCTATTCGGGATGGGGGGAAGCGAAAGCGGTAAGGGGATAAATTTTGTATCCAAAAAGGTATACATTGGAAAGACATGTCTGATGCTTCATTTTCTGGAAATTCCATGATGTTCATTCAGATTTTCATCTACACTGCGCAAAAAAAGATAATCATATTAATGGCTTTGACTTTTCTCTTGAACTATTTATATGTGCGGCAGAGGGTTACAGGCGGAACATAAGAAAATCTCCATCTTTTGGACTCAACGATGCGACCGGGCACATACTCATACTTTGTACGGAACAGCCAACGAAAGTACCATGTAGTAGAATACTACTGCGCAGAGCGCTCAGAGCAATCACCCTGCGAGGGTTTATGATCTAGGTTTCGGGCCTGTCAGTTCCAGACTTCGGTTTTTAACCCGGAGAGCGAACTTTTCGCGAGTGGCGAGGGGGGGGGGGGACCTAGCGCGGTAGTATGAGACTGTCTTGATGGAAAATTCGCGAAATAATCTAAAATACACAATCAATCAATTTTCTTTTCCAACTAAGGATCGACGCTCCATAGGGCAGAAGAATCACAGGAACTCGAAAATCGTTCAACCAAGATTGGGGCGAGTGAATCAACACCAATCTGGATCATAAAGATTCTTGATGCATCTACAAAAATGCGAGGTAAAGACGAGATCGATTCGAGAATTCTGTTTAGTGCTGTCAAACTCCAGCTTTAATCAAGAGAAGTAGGGTTTCAGTGGAACGATTAGATTGATCAACGTTTCCAAAATACTCCCTGTTCCCATTTCGACTCAACTTGACTTCAAGGGAACTGAAAGAAACGGAACCATGAAGCACGATTTTAGTCATTTTTGCCTGAACCATTTTCTTTTGCTTCACTTCTCCATCGTGGCATCGACTGTTTGCTGTTTGTTACCCTTCACGCACTCCAATTTTTTCGGGAAGGACTGACTCACTGCTCACCGAATCCCCTTGAGAATATCTGTGCCATAGCTCAAAAGAAAGTATCATTACGCATTGTCCTAAGCAAAATCAGGTGCTGCTCTATTCCCTCCAGGAGGGCTGCAGTAGACAGCGGTAATGTACCGCGCTGGCTCATCTACGGAAGTCTCAGACGATCTGTTCCACTCTATAGCACTCATAACAGGAGATTCCGAGGATGTCAGGGGCTGGGTGATAAAGAAGCACCTTATTACACAAAACCTAGCCACTACACCGGATTTATTACCATTCGCTGTCCTGTCCATATCTTTAAGGTGTATGCTCGATTGGTCGCAATGGGGCCTCCTTTCCGGTAATATACTGCTCAGGGATACAGCTGTTATGGTTAGGGATTACGATTAATGACACTAAAGACGGATAAAGCAAAAGTGGTGATCCAGCTGAATTAAAACTTTGATAATTGTAATCAAAGAGAAAACTCTTAATGAAAAACCGTTCCCAAATCCCCCAAAAGACTAACCCAACGGTACCGAGTTGTGAGTGGCGTTTCCATTCTGTGGTGATGTCGTCTCGGTTGATGTTGATGCCAAACCCGGGGACGTAGATGATAGGCTCGTCAAGGTCGTTGCGAACCCTTAAGCATAAATTTGAACTAGAATTGGCTTTTTCGGAGTCGAATATTTCACAGATCATTTCATGGGAAATGATCCTCTTGAGGTGATGAAATTCCGTAACCTGAAGCAGAACTGGTAAAACACCTCACCAGGCATAAGGAAAGACATGTCAGGACCACCCAAAGCATACGGTGACACCGGAGGTGGACCAATATGTTGAATAGCGGCTAGATTGAAGGAAGTTTGGTCTTTGGAGAATTCCTATAAAACTATTTATTTGCTGATGATTGATAGTACAAATAGTTGACAGCCACAGTCAGGAACTATCAAGTGCTCCTTAGATGATTTATGAGAACGGCAGAAGAGAATGGCAGAAATATGCAATCGGTGGGGTTGTGTTTGGATTATGCAACATGTGATCAAAGGCAAATCGTATTCTTTGCTCTTGTTACATTACTCAACGGACACATAGCTATTCTCGAAGAAAAAAGCTCATTCCAATTCAAGGCTAGGCTAGGCTCAGTTCAGGAAAACTCTGAGGCACCTATTATGTTTTGAGACGAATAATGGAAGTAATAGTCCAGAGTAGTGCAAAAGTGGCGAAGAAAACGCGAAAGTCGGCGTATTCAGAGAAATATAAGGCTGAAAAAAGAATTAAAATTAGGGGTTGCTTGAATGTGACGACAGAAGTTAAAAGGGGTATTTGGACGAGCTGTTCCGATGTGCGCGCCACTGCATACAGCTAGCTGCAGCTCACGTGCAAAGTGTAGGTCCCGATGCGAACGCTGTAACGTCTACAGCTTCTACATCGCGTCAGAACTCGTCCGCCTTGGGTGTATACGTTGGCTAAGACGGTATTGGGGTCCCTTACTACGCCCTATCTTCACTGTGTTTCTTCGACCGACAGCGTCCCTTATTCTATCCTAAGGGCTCGCAGGTTCATCCAGGGGAGAAATCTCAGGAATCACTTTCAACATGAACTGGGACCCTCAAGTGATTTGGAGTCCAAGGAGCTTCACTGTCTCATTCCTACGTAGATGGCAGAATTTGTAATCGATGGCTAATTAATAGCAGAGAGATATCCTTCAGTGCACAAACTTCCAAACCAGGAGTTAATCAATTGGATAGAAAGGAGTGGAAGGAATAAAACGTCAGGTGGAGATGACCGACGTACCGTTAAGGCTCGTTGCAACCGTCGTACATGCAATGGTTTCGATAGCATACCGACGAGCGACATAATCTCAAGAAATTCTCCTTCGTCACATTGCATAATTTGATTAATATCATCGCCTCCTAAATAATATCCAGTTAGAGGAACCCTGTCATAGAGAGTAAAGAATGCATTCAGAACGATTTGAAGGATGAGGTTGGCCCATTGCGTGACCAATGCGCCCATGAAGTCGACATTTATTCAGAATCGTATCCGCGTTTGAATGGGTAACTGATTTCTACAATCACAATTTGGTTAAGTAGCCACTGAGTGCATAAACTAGTCTTCGATATTTCAGGGCAACATACGTATGAATAACGAGACCCCGGAGAAATGGAAGGTTCGGTCGGCTTGGGTAATTACTAATCCCATCTGGTACCTGCATGCGCTCCTTGGCACTAGTTCAAGAGATGGAGATGTTTCAGTTACATATATGCAAGAATTATATCCATCTTCTCAAATTGTTACAATTTATACTTTTGTTTACGACGAACCTTGTGATATAAACATATCGTAGTACTGTACAAGATTAGCCCGTTGCAAAACCGCCAACAACTGCCATTCCGATATAGACGTAGGCGGAGCCAGCGGTTTTGGTGTGCTGAAACAAAGACGTGCTCAGTCCAATCCTTTTTCCATTCTTGTAGATTTTCAGCAGCTTTCACAAAAAACACACTAAAACCTTTCAGTTTTTGTGCTAGGAAGAAGGGCTTCCTGGAAGCACAGAAAAAAACTCTACTGGGATATGTTGCACGTGGCAAAAAGAAACGTACGATGGCCTTTTTTTTTTACCGTACCACCATCTTTAGGATTGAAGAACCGGCACAGAACAGAATATCCCAAATGAAATTCTTCGTTCTTCTCAATATCCACCGAAAAAACTGGTCGACCGTTTTGGACAGCACGGACGGACGTCCGGGTAACTATGGGAGCCATTAATGGCACATGCCCGGATGAGGGAGGTAGCTGAGAATCGTCGGGCGCTGTTAGCGGGTCGAGACTTCTGTCATACTCCCGCAGTCCCCTTTTTTCGATTTCCGATGGGAAGTTGATATTTTAAACATGTTGTCTAAACAGACTACAAAAAAACAACTTCTAAAAAGCAACACATCAACGTCATGATTTATCTCCCAAACAGTTTGGGTGCTGGAATAAATCTATTAAGAAGAACGGTAGGTGTCTACTGAGTGTGGTTCCGAAGGCAAAGGCTAAAAACTCGACGGAACACTCGTTTAAACTCATTCAGCAAAAACTTGTAATAATTACTCCTGAAATATTGCCCCTTGATTTATTGAAAAAAATTGATCTCTCACTCACCCAGCTCTTGCTATATTTTCCACTTTTAATTGTGGTGACTCTCGTTTTACAGGATTCTTCACTCCGCTCAATTGCAACTGCGACGACGAAGAACTTGATGGTAAAGCTAAAATAGGCCACTTCAATAGGAATTAAACATTCGAACTCCTTCAATGACTCAACTACTGACCGAGATAACTCGTTCCAAGAATTCATAAAAGTTCATCACCAAAGGAGTACTGGTTTTTCTGAATTGCTTATTTTTACCTTCAGTCTTTTGGCATAAATTGGCAATAATTCCTATGAGTGATTAGTTTTACGTTCAATCTCCTTGAAGGAATGGAAGGAACAGCCCACGACTAATTGGGGTTATCTAGCTTTAGACGACCAATGAGATAGTTCAGAATAGTGCAAAAGAATGTTTTCCCAATGCGAATGGTGCAACCTCTACAGCTTTCACTACACATAACAACTCGTCCGCTTTGGGTGTGTAGGTCGGGCCGGTTTTATAGGCCTTATAGCGCCCCATCCTGACTGTTTTCATTGACAACGACCCTTAGGCTATCTTTCACTGGCTTGCACATCGGCTGACCACCACTAGTCGTTATGTAGGCCACATATGCATTCAATATGCCACTACGATTCTGAATGGAAGTCAAATACGGGGCGTATCCCAGACAAGATTGATTAACGCCCTAGACTTTATACTTCTATGCGATTTTTGAGTTCGTCTAGGGACGAAAGTAATCATAAAGAATGATTTATTTATTCGTTTACTTTTATTACACTTGAGGGTGCTACAGTTATATCCAGATCTGGATCACCGAGTACTTCTCAACCACCTCACGCAAAGAATATTTCTAGCAATTCGCGGAATATTTCAATAAACATTTTTCAATAAACCCATTAATACAGCTGTAGAAGAATACTTTCTTATTAAGATCAAAACATCAAGGTTGAATTCTTGAAACTTTTTCAGAGAAAACGAAGGCACGGTATCTCAGCACGTACCTGAATGCCCCATCTCGCCATAATTCGCCTGATGACACCCGTTCCAACAAAAACAACAAAGTATTCAGAAAAGTAATTAATGGAAATTTCGAGAAAAGAAAATGTATTCGCTGCTCTGTAAAAAGATATCTGAGATATTTCAT